TAGCTTGCAGTGGAGCGCGGCGTCGCGCGTGTTGCGGATGAGCACCTCGCCGTAGTGCTCGATCCAGCGCGGGCCGCTCAGCACGTTGTGGATGCACGTGGTCACCTTGTTCCACTCAAAGTGGTCGCCGGACCTGGGCACCGGCCGGGGCAGCGTGGCCAAGGGGAGGGCGACGCGGCCGGCCGCAGCGGGGACGGGGGATGTGGGGACGCGGACCCACCTGGGCAGCCGCACGTTCACCGTGCCCATGGGCACAATCTCCAGGGATTTGCCCCAAAATTTGTTCTTCCACTTCATGTCTAGCAGGAGGAAAGGGAGAGTTGTGTCATTCCCCTACATGTCCCTCCCACCACCCTCTATGTCCCCCTCAGTGTCCCCCTGCCATGTCCCCATCCCGCGTCCCTCACCTTGCCAGAAGATGAAGTTGTCAGACTCAGCGTGGCAGGCAGAAACGGGCGGGTGGTGACAAACCTGCGAGGGACAGGGCATGCCGAGGTCTCCAGGGCCACCACGGCCCCCTGGGCTTGCACGGCTGCCCTGGTGCCGTCCCCGTACCTGCTCGCTGATGAAGCGGAAGCCGCGGTCGGGCCGCACGCACTCGTAGGTCTCGCCCAGCACCGGGTTGAAGGGCTTGCAGCCCGCCCGGTAGTAGGTGGAGGCGTAGGCGGACACGGCGAAGGCCGCCACGTACACCTGGATGTGGGGACACCCCTGTCACCCACACCAGGACAGGGCCACTCATCGCCACTCCCACTAAGGGGTGTGACTCATTGTGACCCCTCCCATGGGGGGTGTGTGGCCGCACTTGGCCCCACCCCTGGTACAGAGCATCGCATGACCAAGGATGCTCCTTGGTTGCAGAGTAGCCATGAGCTCCATCAAGGCTGCTCCTTGGTCCTTTCCATGGCAGGGGGGTGGCACTCCAGGCCCCTCCCACGTGTGGATGTGGTCACAGAGGCCCCCCCCATGTGTGGGCGTGGTCACACATGCCCCTCCCACACGTGGGTGGGGTCACACAGGCACCTCCCACAGGTGGGTATGGTCATGGCAGCCCCTCCCCTGTGTGGGTGTGGTACCCTTAGGCCCCTCCCACATGTGGGAGTGGTCACAAAGCCCCCCCATGTGTGGGTTTGGTCACACATGCCCCTCCCACAAGTGGATGTGGTCATGGAGGCCCCTCCCCTGTGTGGGTGTGGTACCCCCCAGGCCCCTCCCATGTGTGGGTGTGGTCACAAAGCCCCCTCCCATGTGCCAGTGTGGTCACACATGCCCCTCCCACACATGGGTGGGGTCACAGGCACCTCCCACAGGTGGGTGTGGTCATGGCAGCCCCTCCCCTGTGTGGGGGGGGCACCCTCAGGCCCCTCCCATTTGCAGGAGGGGTCATGGCAGGCCCTCCCCC